CTTGAAGCATTATAATGAGGTCGCCTAGTGTATTCAGCATGTGAGTTATCAGGGCACTACTTCTGTGCCCCCTAGTTTAGTAAAGGGGGAATCAGCCAGGATGTGGGCTGTTTTCTTTTGCCAGCTTTACTGAATCTGTGGCACCTTTTGTTTTTGAGGTGAACATAGCACCTGAACTCATCACAAAGATTTTCTAGCCAGCGTCAAACAGCACCTCGTCTGTAGTTAGACTCCTCTGATAATCTCTCTTCCATCACCCAGCATGTCTTGATTGCATCCGCTCTTGGTTCTTTGCAACAGACAGGAAATTGGGATGGGGTGGGGGGTAGAGATGTGAGAAACTGAAATTACCCACTGGTACGTTCTTGTTCTGTTCAATAGGAAGTGGTTTTAACGACTGTACTATTACCAGTCATTATAATGTAATTATCATAGTTGTTAAGGGGTAATAATCCCTTTAAAAAATATATGGTCACTCAATCCACGACTGCTTGTGGGACAATGCTGTGCGCAATTCGTTTTGCCCACAAAATATACAGTCAATTAACTTCACAGTACATCTGTGCAGAGCTTTGAGACGTCTCAATGACGTGATAAGGTGCTATATCAAATGCAAGGACTATTATTAGCAGTATTAGTCGTAGTTGTCCAGCTGACACTCCAGCACAGTGCTAGGGTAGCTCTGCATTGTGACAGGTGCCTCCTTTTGATTGAGATCATGACAGGAAAGATGGTTTCTTTCTTTTCTTGCTCAGTACAACAACAACTTGCATTTAAGTACGATAAAGTTTTAATAATAATAATAATAATCCTTGCATTTGCTGTAGCGGTTTTCACGTCTTCTAGACGTCTCAAAGCGCTTCACAGAATATACTGTAAAGTCAATTGACTATTATTTTTATTTGTCTTGGAGAGCTTTACTGAGCAGAGCTGATGGGGAGAAAGGATGACCCTAGGATGCATCACAGGGATATAGAATTCAGGTGGCTGGGGCTGGAGAGGGCTCAGCTCCCTCCGGATCTATCTGTCAAAAGCTCAGCTCTTTAAAGGGGGGCAGTGATAGTTGGCTACCTCCACTTTCTCCCTGCTCCTCCTCCTCACGGTGCAGCTTCAAAGTTGGCCGTCCTACCCTCCTCACTCTGGTGGACCTTGTAGTTGGCGTGTTGATGGAATGGCTGGGCGGCCATCTTTGAAGCTGGCAAGGAACCTGCATGATAAGGTGGATGAAGCCATATTTGATGCTGGCGCCTAGGCGTCAGACCTTCGAGAGAGAATCGTGGCTTTGATTCTTTCCCTTTTCTAGCTCAGGGATGTAAGCTGGAACAGAGATGATGGGGGTGGGGCATGTGGGAGAAAGTTCTAGAGGATAGAATTCATAGATGTACAATTTGATATAACCTCCCACCATTCCTCACAAGCTGTTCTCCCCACCACACCGCCTCCGTCACTAGTCTATCTCGTCTCTAACAGCCTCTGCTGCAGTTAGTAATTGTGCACTTGGTCTAACTTTACATCTGAAACCGTTGCTGTTGTTAGGTCAGGAATCGCATCGTGACTCGCTTCTCTTTCCAACTCGACTCTGCAAAAATAATAAGAATTTGGTCACTCACTCAATTTGCGGGACACTGCTGTGCACAATTGTCTGCCGTATTTCACCCACAGTGTGCACTGCGCTTTGCATTGTATCCTGTGAAGCGCTTTGAGATGTCTTGAGGACGTAATAAGCTGCTGTATCAAATGGAAGGATTACTATTATTATTATTATAGACTTTCTGATTACCCAACCTTGGTCCAGAAATGCGAGTTACTCAAGAGACAGTTAGTGTAGGCAGAAACACACCAGGGCGGGAGACGAGCCAAGCCAAACTGAACCCAATCTTTCAGAGGAAAAAAATTCTCCTGAGTGGCTAATATTTCTGACTGTTTTTATCACGGAGGCTTATGTTTATTTTGTGTGTTTTTTTAAAAAGCTTTAATTTAATCAGAAGTCACCAATGAATCACTGTTAACTATTTCTGCTCCTTCCCACCCGCCCAACCCCCATTGCCTTTTACTGTACTGTAACATTCAGTGGTTTGCCCTCAACGTCCCTGGGCTAGAAAGGGGAAGAATCCAAGCCACGATTCTCACTCTGGATCACATTGGAGTCCTGGAGCTCAGTGGTTAGAGCAATTGTCACGCAAGCGAGAGCCCTGGGTTTAATTCCGGGCAGGGCGAAATATTAGACAAATCTCCTTACTCCATACGCCTGTTTACTTAGCAGTAAGTAGGAACCCGGTTTTTAGTCGATTGGCTCACAAAATATACAGTCAATCCACATTGCAATATAATCTGTGAAGCGCTTTGAGACGTCTCAACAAAGTGACAAGGTGCTATATTAAATGCAAGATTATTATTAATATGATTACCATGTTGTCAAAACATCTCCAAGTGCTTCACTGGATTCACTGTAAAGTGCAGGGAATGTATTCTGAGGGTGGAGCAGTAGACAGTTTGCACACATCGACGTCCCCCAAACAGCTCTGAAGTGAATGAGTGATTTTACCTGGTTAAGCATTTCAGTGACTCCCCAGTTTGGTTGGGTGTGTGGGTGACCGACTATGGATGTGGACGATAAGTGGTTGGGTGTGAGTGGGGGAAGTGGGGGGGGTAAGGATGGGTGTAGAGGGCGGAGATGGTGAGTGGTGGGGTGGATTTTGTACTTTGACTGTGATGCTCAGTTTGAAACAGCCTGTCGATAGGATTTGTGCTAAGGTGGAAGGGTACTGGCATAGGGAACGGAGGAGGGGAGGGTGAATCAGAGATAAACAGTAAACGTGCGACTGCTTCAGGCTATGAGGCTTCCAGCCAAAATCCACAGATTCCAATTGAATTGCGATTGTTAATTATGAATTTCTCTGCATTTTGCTCTTGCTCACGTTTCCTTCAAAATACCATGACCTCATCTGCGCGAGAGCTTTCATAGCCTGGGAGAGGCTGAAACAAAGCATTTGTATTTGTACAATGAAACACGGAGCAGTTATTTGGCTGAGGGCCAGCACATTGTATCGTTGTGTGTGTGATGGGGAGGAGGAGAGAGAATGAGTTCAAAGATTTTAGCGTCATTGTTTAAAGTATATATATTTTTTATAAAACTGACTTGGCTGTTATTACTGTTTCCTGTATTACTGTTGTAAGTCAGTGATAACAGCCTCACAATTTCATTTTGACTTATTGCAGCCATAAATCTTGTTTTTTTGAGTGAATTTAATCTTGACTCAGTTTCATAAGTTGCAGCTCTAAGTCTCCATTAAGGAAACTAACAGCTGTCAGCCTGGCTCGGTCTGTGCCTTCTGGGCCAGAAGGTTGCAAGTCTCAGCCCCCACCCACCCAGTTGGGACGTTTTGTTCACAGCTCACTGCTGATGCTCCAGTACAGTATGGGGGGAGATTGTTGCATTGTCGGAGATGCCGTCATTCTGATGAGACGTTAAGCCCAGCTCCACTGGCTCCCCATCCCTCAGAAGATAGCGTTCAAATTCCTTGTCCTACCTTTCAAAGCCTTCCACGGCCTCCCTGCCTCTGTGAGTTGCTAACTTTATAATGACCTGTCCACTCCCTATGCTCAGTAAAGCCAGCCTGCTCTATGTCTCCTCCCCGGCCCACCCCACCATCGACAGTCGGATCTTCAGCCTCTCTGCACCCACCATTTGGAATTCCATCTCACAGTCCCTTCGCCTCGCTCCCTCCCTTGACTCCTTCAAAGCTCATCTCAAGACCCTCCTCTTCGAATGCACCTTTGGTCACCCTCCTACCCACTACCCTCCCTGTCCTCCACCCCTCCTGATCCCAATCCCAAGCTCGATGATTAAAGCTGGGGATTAAAAATCAACAAGGTCTTTGGCTCGCTCATCGCTTTCAATTGTAGCACCTCATCACATTGAAACATCTCAAAGTTAATCGCTGTCAAGTGTATCTGTAGGCAAACCATAGCAATGCTGTGCGGACTTAGTTGGCTGCCGCATTTCGCCCACAAAACGTACAGTCACTACACTTTACAGTATGTTCTGTGAAGCACTTTGAGACGTCATAGAAGACATGATAAGGTGCTATATCAAATGCAAAGATGATTATTATTATATTATAAGACATGCAGCCATGAAGCAAGTGGCCAATTTACAGGCCTGGGTGGTGGTGGTGGGTGGGGGTGTAGAGGGAATGCTTTACGCCGACATCCCTCCGCATGAGACTGGATGTGTTTTGGTGACTATCTTTAGAAGCAATAAGCTGAAATTTTGCCTTCCAAAAGCTACATTTAAGAAGAGAGCTCCAGTTTGCAAATAGCAGACTTTAGAAATAAGTATGGTGGGGGTAGTGGGGGGTAGAGGGTGAGGGCGGGAAAAAGAGGAAGTGTTGGGGAAAGAAGGTGGTGGGAGAACGGGAGGGAAAACGGCTATTTAGGTAGCTCCACAGTTATATAGTCTGAACATCTGCCATTCTCAGTGGTAAAGGTCGAGATGAAAATTGGATGTGTAGCCATGTAATTTGTGAGACAGGCAGGATTTTCTTTTAATTATGTTGCTCTTTTATATACACACACATATATTTGTGGATTCTTGTAGCGTAGTGGTTAGAGTACCCACCTCACAAGTGAGAGGATCTGGGTTCGATTCCCGGGCGGGGTGAAACCCTAGTCAAGTTTCCTTACTCCATATACCTCTAGTAAATGGGAACCTGGTTGTTAGTCAACTGGCGAATCGCTTTTCCAGGGATAATAATCCTTTTTAAGAAAATACAATGAATAAAAATTATTTGGTCACTCAATCCACGAGTGTTTATGGGACACTGCTGTGCGCAATTGGCTGCCGCGTTTCGCCCACAATATATACAGTCAATTCACATTACAGTATATTCCGTGAAGCGCTTTGAGGAGTCTCAAAGACGTGAAAAGGCATTATATTAAAAGCGAGAATTATTGTATTTTTTATACTTATTATTTTTGTTGCCTTTTTGTTTCTCCAGCCTGTTTGCCTTGCTGTCCAAGAAGCACAACAAAGTACTGGAGCAGGCCACCCAGTCACTGAGCAACCCCATAGGAGCTGAGGACAACTCTCCATTACCCGATTACGTAAGATCCCAAAGCAATCTGTAGCCGCCCCGTATCAACACCCGCCGGTCCAGAGTGGGAACAAAAGCCCTGCTCACTCCAAATGGCGGGCATTGTGTTATTCCTATCAATTCAGTGCCCTGGGTCGTCTTTCCTATATGAAGGGCACTATACAATATATTGTTGATGTTGTTTGGGAGGTTGGATGGGGTGATGTTCCCAATTTATGTGTGTCACGCATGTTCTGGGTCCATGATGTGTGTCAAGTTTTAACCACCCCTGACATCACTGTGTGAGTAATACCCTCGTGACTTCCACTGAACTATCGGCAGCCGTGTCTTCAGCCACTACACCCCAAAACTGTGGAACTATCCCCTTCAATCCCTCCGTCTTGCCTCTTCCCTCCCTCCCCACCTTGAAATCCAACCCAAAGACCTTTTTGGTCGTGCTTACGGTCACCTCCCTCTCCCTCTGGCTCGGTGTCAGACTCCGCCACTGTCAAGCGCTCCAGGACACTACCCCTCGTGAAGGGCGTTTTATAAAAGTTGTTGTTGTGATGAAGGGAGTTGTGTAGCTCAGGATTGCAGCGTTTGCCGAGATTGTTGGGAAGGGTGGGGGGGCGGGAGCTGATAGCAGCTGTGCACTGCACACCCGCCATCGCTGGTAACTGCGGGCCAAATATTTTAATACCAGGTTCAGAAAATTATAGTCATTGTTTTTTTTATTGTGCCCTGTGGTTAGACTCTCTGAATTAGTATGCAATTAGGAAAACCTTTTCATTTTATCCCAAGGGTGCTTTTTAAGCCGGTTGCACAGAACGCCAGAGTTCTGGGATGTAATTACAGCCAAACATTGATTCCGAATGTTACTCAGATAGTGTTGCCTCTGCCGGTGAAGAATCAGAGCTAGGCTGGTTTCCTTCTTACACACACATGCCTCTGTTTACCTTGCAGTACGTAGGAATCCGATTATAGTCGAATGTTGGATCGATTTCTGGGGGTAATAATCCCTCAAAAAAATTATTCACTCAATCCAAGACTGTTTGCGGAACACTGCTTTGCACAATTGGCTGACGCGTTTCACCCACAGAATACATAGTCAATCCAATTGGTTTGTGAAGCTTGAGTTGAGGCAAGTTTGTTCACAGGACTACTGTAATCCTGCTAGCAGACTCCCTGCCCAACTCATGTCTCATAATAATAAAACAATCTATGCATTTTAGAGTCCTGTAGCGTGGTGGTTAGCACATTCGCCTCGTAAGTGAGAGGACCCAGGTTTATTCACAGGCAGGGCAAACGCTTAAGCAAGTTTCCTTATTCCACACGCCTATTTACCTTGCAGTAAGTAAGTTAGTTGATTGGCAGATTGCTTTCTAAGGGAATAATCCCTTAAAAAAAATTGGTCACTGAATGTACAATTGTTTGTGAGACTCTGTTCTGCGCAATTGGCTCCTGAGTTTCGCCTACAAAATACAATCAACCTACTTTACAGTATATCCTGTGAAGCTTTGAGACGTCTCAACAACATGATAGAGCGCTATATCAAATGCAAGGATTATTATTATTATTGAACACCAGCGTTCTGACCCTCTGAGAGTGCAACCAATTGAGTCAAGCTCACGTTAAGCAGAAGATTGGAGCCCCATGTCAAGGCCAACATCTTCCAGATGAAGTGGACATTCACCTCAACTCCACCTAGCACTGGGGAGGATGTTATAACTAACCTACAGCTGTAACATTCCCCCACTGTCTAGCCGGAGGTGGGGGAGCGTGGTTGGGGTGAATAGTGTGTGGGTGGGGGGTGGAACTAACTGAAATAGCGTAGAGTCATATTTCTTTTCCAAATACTTTTAACTTTGATAGCCTGGGCTGGGGGTGGCATTGAGAGCCAGGCTGTGCTGTGCTCACGTCAGCTTGTCCAGTTGGTGTGAATGATTGCTGAATGGTGCATTTTTGATGTGATGACTTCCTGGCGTGTATGAATGGAGAGGAAGAACAAGAAGGCGCCTATTTTTCCCTCTAACCACACTGCCTGGCCCACAGCCATGCCCAGGCATTGCACAAAACGGATTTTGTAACATACACAAAAGTACTCAGATCTATAATGTCGTGAAGGTTTTTTTTTCACATATTGCTCGCTAACTTACACTGACATCCTCGAGCAACTCAGTTGGCTTAATGCCGCGCTCAAGGTCAGAAGGTTGTGGGTTTGCAATCCAGGTGTGCTTAAACCCTTCACCCTTTTCAGTTCAAGAAACTATATATAATAAGAGAATCGGAAGGCTTGTGGGTTCAAGATCTACATCAGCAATTGAGCCACATAGTCTCGTGGAGTCCTGTAGCATAGTGGTTAGAGCACTCGTCTCACAAGCAAGAGGACCTGCGTTCGATTCCCAGACAGTTTCCTTACTCCACATGCCTCTGTTTACCTAGCAGTAAGTAGGAACTTGGTTGTTAGTCAATTGGTGAATCACTTGCCAGAACTAATAATGCCTCCACACTGGTGTGTCAGCCTAAACTATGACCTCAAATTGAAAAAAATGTTGATCACTCAATCTGTGACACTTCTTTGGCACCATTGTAGCAAGTTGCTGTTTTAATTTGTGTGTTTTTCCTGCTCCCAGTTTGCACTCTCACTGCTTTGCAGTCAAGTGTAGTGACTGTTTTTGCAGTCAGAAGCAGTAGCAAGGTTCCTCACACGACAGTGACCAACTAATGTGTGCAGATTGACCAGGTTACCAAGAGAAATGCCCTTCTCTTTTCCAACAATGCTGTGGGATCATTAACATCCACCTGAAGAATAGGGACTTCAATTTAACAACTTATCCGCCTCCGACAATACAGTGCTCCCTCCAACTCAGTGTGGTTTGGAGACTCGTAAGCATGGTGATGGATTTCAGTGTGTGTCAGCCAAAGAGTGTGAGCTCAAAGTCCTGACGTGGGGCTTGAACCCACAATCGTCTGACCTCAGAATGCAGAGGGCTGAGCCGAGCTGACCGTTTCATAGCGACCACTGCCGGAGTGTGCAAATGCTGTGTTATCTATCCACGTTTTAATTATGTAGTTGTGCTGCTGCCTTGTACCAGTACATTGCATTCCGCTTGTCTGTGCGTGCACACACACAGACGCCTTGTAATACCACGGGGCCTGGGGAAATCGTGGCTAGGCTTTGAAGTCCAGGTTTAATGTTAGAAAACAACCTTTAAGTTGTCGAGCCCTTGCATTTTTGTTCATTCATAAAAATTTGATTCAGTATCCTGATGGGATGAATCACTCTGTATAGCTCCCCCGGTGGTCCACACGGATAAAGGCATCGCCAGTCAAGTATTAGCCAATAAGGTGGAAAGGGTCAGGGGGCGAATGAGGGACTGTGCTGAGTAAGCTGATCTCAGCCGTGCCATTCAAGGAAGCGGGGGAATCGAGAGAGAAGAAAGACTGCATGTGGTTTAGTCAGGTTGTCCGCAACTGATCTCTCTCTTGAGACACCCCTCCCGATTCGTAAGCAAGTTCAATGTCATGGCCTTGACCACCTGGTAACTTGTCGTAGAATCTTACAATTATACAGCTCAGAAGGAGGCTATTCGACCCATCGTGCCCGTGCCAGCACTTTGAAAGAGATATCCAAATTAATCCCTATCCCCCATTCTCTCCCCATAGCCTTGCAAATTTTTCCTCCACAAGTATCTATCCAAATACCCCAAATATCTATAGTCAATCACGCTCTGTGGAAATAAATGCTTCCTGGTGTCTGCTCTCAAATTTCTCTTCAAATAATAATGATACATGCATTTGATATAGCGCCTTATTATGCTGTTGAGACATCTCAAAACGCATCACAGAATGTGAAGTGAATTGACTGTATTTTGTAGGTGAAACGCAGCAGCCAATTGCGCACAGCAGTGTCCCACAAACAGTGGTGGATTCAGTGACCAAATTCACAAATTATTATTATTTATATTTTTTTGTGGGGGAGGGATTATTACCCCGGAAAACGATCCGCTAATTGACTAACAACTGGGTCCCTACTTCCTGCTGGGTAAACAGAGGTGTGTGGAGTAAAGAAACTTGCCTAAGGTTTCACCCCACCCAGGAAACAAAACCCAGGTACTCTCATTTGCGAGGCGGGTGCTCTAACCACTACGCTACGGGACTGACTGCGTATCAATCAGGTTGGCCACAACTGATCTTTATCGAGAGACATCTCTCCCATTTTGTAAGTTGGCCCGCCCTGGCCTTAACCACCTGGTAACTAGTCAATCACCATGTGGGTAAACAAATGCTTCCTGGTGTCTGCTCTCAAATTTCTCTTTGCACATCCTGACCTGCTGCCTCTGCAGAATCGAAGGAGCCTTAATTGTATGAACCTACTTACTTATTGCTCTTTCACCTACATCAGAATGCTTCTACCGCAGAAGAGTAAACAAAAATCCCAAATATGTTTCTAAAGTAAACTGTAAACTGTACAACAAGTGAGTCTGACAGCTCCCCTAACACACAGAACCCATCCGGGCTTTGTGCTCTCGGCTTTACCAGCGGAGTCAACGTGAGAAGGAGGGGATTTTTAAGGGGATTGCTTTGTTGTCATGTACACTGCCGAACACATTGTTTCGTGTTCATTCATAAAAAAATATTCGATGGCTCCTGTAGCTTAGTGGTTAGAGCACCCGCCTCAAAAACAAGAGGACCTGAGTTTGATTCAACAACCACTTGCGCTTATTATCCTCGCAGAGCAGCGTCTCAGAGCGCTTAACAGTGGCGGAGCCTGACTCCGAGCGGTGGGTGGGAGGGGGAAGGTAGCCGTAAGCTCAGTCGAAGAAGAAGGTTTTCAGGCAGGACTTGAAAAAGGGGAGAGAGGGATCAAGGCGTAGGGATTGAGGGAGAGTGTTCCAGAGTTTAGATTCCCAGGCAGGGCGAAACATTGGCCAAGTTTCCTTATTCCACTTCCCTCTGTTTACGTAGCAGTAAAGTAGGAACCAGTTGTTAGATTGGCGGATCACTTTTCCGGCGGTAATAATCCCCTTA